AGACACGCCCTTTTTAGATGGAGCCCCATCCTCATATAGTTGAGGTCTATCGTAAAACTGTTCACTGGTACATTGCAGGGGACACATCTACAGTCCTGCCGAATTTCATGTTGATCCGTGCTATAGTTGACCCAGAAATCTTGAAAAAAAAAGACTAAATAAAATCTAAAAGTAAATAAATAAACAGTTCATAAAAACAATACGATCCCCGCTTTGCATGTGGGGATCATATTAAAGTCAATCAATTATTGAATGAAAGTGGTGCAGAAAGAAGAAATAAAATCTTATATCTGCCTCTTAGATTTAGCAGAAAACAGCATCTCAGATTTGCCTTTAATAATTAAAATTTAGAAATCACTTGTCAAGTTAGGTTTTTTTTATTTACGTCTTTTAGCCAAGGTGAAGTCCTATTTTTGTTTTAGAGATTTTGAGAAAAGTATTCATGTTTTCATCACAACACATTTGGACTCAAGAGGATTCAAAATGCTGCAGCCCGACTTTTAACAGGTACACGGAAACATGAGCATGTAACACCTGTGTTGGCTTCATTACACTGGTTACCTGCATCTCACTGAACTGATTTTAAGATTTTATTGTTTTAAAGTTTTGCTTGGCCTTGCTATCTTCAAGATCTTTTACATGTTCATTCTTCATCTACACTGAGGTCAAACAACCAGATGCTGAAGTTCCAAGATCCAGATTTGGGAGTAGAGGTGATCGTGCTTTCGCTGTGTCTGCTCCCAATCTATGGAACAACTCACCCTTTCATATTAGATCTGGTCATAGAAAACCTCAAAGTGCTTCTTAAGACTCATTTTATTCAATGGCATTTAATTAAACTAAGGCCTGACTTTGTATTTTATCTGTTCTTACTATTGTTGGTTGCAATTTATTGTGTAGTTTGAGCAATTGTTGTGGTTTTGTGATATTTGTGGATTGCTGCACAGCACTTTGGTGCAGCTTTTAGCTGTTTTTAAGCTTTCTTTATAAATACAACTGACATTGAGTAAGAAATGCAGACATTCCATTTGATCTGCTGGTGTAGACCATCAATAATGCTTGATATGATGAGATTTTGAATCTGGAAGGTCTTTGCTCGTTAAAAAAAGGTTAAATGAAGATTTAAAATTTTAAAAAAGYAAGTGGACTTCCTTTCTCGGCTCTTGGAGACATTTCACTTCYGCACTCAGGCTTGACATTCTCTCCCAGGTGGTTCTGTAACCATTTACACCTTGAAACCTGGGACCAAAGCCTCTCACACGCTGGTTTAAYTGGGCCAGTGACTCCAGTGAAACACCTCAGTCAGGTGTTTTGGATTCACCGTCTTGAACTTCCTGTTTTGCAGAACTCTCATTTCGAATAAAGTTTGTTGAAGCCTTCACCTCATCGCCTCYCCTCTGTGACAGATGATGAATTTAAACGTCTCAGATGAAAATATCTGTTGACAGAATGAGACTGAAACTGCGTCTGGTGTCAAGTTTACACCTGCCAAACATTAATTGAATAAAACACACAATCAGAAATTGTCAGGGGGAACAAGGGAGAAATTAGAGAATATGTTCCACTAAAACCCAATGAGCTGACTCGACTTGCTTGATAACGGTGTGTGTGTAAGTGTGTGTGTGTGCGTGTCAGTCTTGTTTTATCTCTCACCTGTACAAATACACCAGGCCTCTGAAGCGACGCAGCTGCCTGAGGGCGAAGCATTTTAATGAAGGAGATGAAACTCTGAGAGAACCTGAGCGGGTTTCTGATCAGGACAGTGAGAGCAGGTCAGGGATTCGCTTGTGACAGAAATTAATTTCTAAAGGTAAGAAGCTCTCCTCGATGTGCTCCGGTGATGCTGATGATTCTTGTCACGCTCCAACAAAAAGTTAGATTGTTTCCTTTTTAAGCTTTGTTTCAGATTTGTTGGAGGATTTCTTTCCACCGTGATGATGAATTCTCAATGTTTGGTTGRCTGAAACCATCCATGTCTCTGACAGCAGGGACCCCCAGGAGCCCCCGGATCCAAGAATCCAGGAACCAGAGGGCCTGAAACTGTTGAAGAATAAGGTGCAGTACATCTTCTAAGAATGTTCTGAAACGATCAGTCTGCATCTTTTGGTTATTTTTTGGTACTAAAACATCAATACCACCAAACCAAATGCGCTAAAATTAAGATCATATTCAGACCTGATAATTTGCTCCACTTTAAACGAACCAGAGTTCGTTTCCAGCGTTGGTCCGGACCTTTTGTGCAGGTGTTCACTCATGCGAACTCTGTTGCGGATCAAACAACCGGACCGAGACCTGCTTTTTGAGG